GATGAGATCATGGTTCTCAGCCATGAGGGTGTGGCTGAATGCCACTTCCATAAAAAGTGGAACGACTGAACAGCCGGTTGGGAATGACTGCTAACACATCTCATAAAAAATTCTTGCTTTGCCCATTGTCTTTCTTTTTCTAACTCCCATCCCATATGATCCTAAAATCGATCGTAGTTTTCCCAATCGTTTTCATTCTTCGTGTTTACTTTTCAGCATCGAAAATGTATAGGAGGTCCAATGTCCTCAAGGTTATCTCTAATATCTACCTCACTGTCGTTTTCTTCCATGGAAAACCAGATTTCCCTCTGCGTTCCATACTCAAGTCATCCTCTGCTTCCAGGATATTAAGAAGTATGCTCTCAAGTATCTCAAGAAGATATTTTCTATTCAAATTTCAATTTACTCATTATTTTGAAAGTGAAATAATTAGCTCTAATAGGGAAGTTTTCCTTTTTGTCAAAATAGAACATGAGAAAGTCTTTTGGAGCTCAACCTGATAAACTTCGTACGATGTACTAAAAAAATCTTCCGATCCTGAATCTGAATGAAAAAACCAAAAAATGTTCTGATAAAATCCATTTTTCATTTAAAATGCACTTTGAATGGAGAATGGGACCTCATCTCCCCTCACTGTCAGTTATTGGGACCGCAATTTTTCTGAGCTCGAGAAAACTCGCTGGAAGTTAAGCCAACCCCAGTTCTCTGACTGCAGGGTGACCAACGAACCCGATACTTCGAAGTTGCCTCATTGTGTTTTTGTTTTGAACGTCTCTGTATCGTAAGCTTTCATACAGCTGTATAGCGAATGCTATTTTTCTTGATTCATCTCGTGGTTTTGACTAATTTCTTCTAAACTTCAAAAAAAAATAGCGAATTCCTGGAATTGAACAAGTTAAGGCTCAACAAAGCAGCTCAAAACTAAAATGGGTCAACGAAGTATTGTCTTTGATGAGATAGCCACATTGGCTGATCAAAGGATTCTACTGATTGATGGAGCTATGGGAACAATGATCCAGCGAGAACATCTTGAAGAAAATGACTTCAGAGGGGAAGTGAGTTTGAAGAATTAATTATTTTTGTTTTTCCAAATAATTTCAAATTTTCCATAATCTCTGGTTATTCTTTTTATATGAAGCCCATCTATATAGCTCCCTCTCTTTATTTCGATGCATATCCCATTTCAAATGCCTACAATTCTTTTTTTGAAAATTTTTGTATTTATTCTTTTTCATATGTAATGCTCGCAAAAACTTCCGTGTTGTAAATTAATTGTTTGTTCATAGTAAAAATGTGTTACGCAGATTCTCTATAGTTCAAATAGAATGCTCTCACTATTCTGATGGTTTTTAGCTTCTCAAAAGCTGAGCCATCTCTATCGGATTGTCTACACATCCGTTCTAGGTTGTTACCCAAACTTTCTCTGATTTCACAACTTTTTCGAAACAACTATTATTTTACCTCTCCTTTTCGTATACCTGGTCATTGCAATGCTAAACAAGTAGTTCAAAGTTTTGTAATTATAACTTGGGAGGGTTGAGATAAATTTCTAAGCCCTGACGTGATGGGCTTTGTGTTGCACTGTGCATGTGGTTCGATTCAGGATGCTTAAGGTCCTAAATCCCTCTCCCTCATAAAACGAATGAAGGGAATGAGCTGCCAATTAAATCGCTGTTTTTTCACAGTTTCAGAGTTATTTTATTTATTTATTTATTTATTTATTTATTTATTTATTTATTTATTTATTTGAATACAGCCAATGGTGTGCCATACAACATAAAGGCATGGGCTCTGAAGCAATTCTTATGTCTCTTATGTCAACAACAAAAAAAAAGGAGAAGAAGAAAAAGCTTAGACGGAAGAGAAATAAAGGAGCCTCAAGGCAAAGCTTGAGGTTATGAACGAAACATTTGACTATAAAAATGAGGAACGAAGAATTAGAGCAAGAATATCGCCTGAAGACCATCGCTAGAATCACACAGGGACCGCTCCTATGTGTGGATGCGAGCTGCTCTCCTCTGTGAAAAAGAGGTATCTTTTATGATTAACAGAACTTGAAGGGATAGAAGGTTCGGGTGATCTAGCCAAGATGTGAACCAAAATTCATTCTTCGTATCATGTCTATGCTGAAGATCTGCCCTCCCAATCTTTATTTCTACTCCAGATCGCTTTTTCAGCCTCCAATTTTTGCTTCTATGGAATTTACGCGAGCAACTTAGGGACAGGTACGATACCGAAAGAAGCAGTCCATGGCATTTTTCGGCATTGTACCAACTCCTGTTTTAAAGCCTTTTTGTATACTTCCGTATCTCTGTCGAAACTGAATGAATTAGAAGTAAAACTCTAAGCGATGATTGTGTTAGAGATTTCGCTTTAGATAGCGCTTAGAACATGAAAAATTATTGACGAAACCCTGAAAGCTCATTGGCTTTCCGCCGAAAGCATAACACTTTGTAGACAATGTTCAGTAGGCAATTACCATTCCAAGGGCTGAATTCACAAATACTGTCTTTACTTATGAAGAGTCGTTATTGTTTAGTTAGAAAGAGAAAGATTCAGAGTCGCTCCAGCTCTACTCAAACCAGTTATGTCTTCCAACTCCTCGATGTTGATTTATTAGCATACGTTCTGTCTGGAGGAATAAAAAGCGAACTTGTGCACCAGCGAACCAATTACTCATAATACAAACTGGAGACCCCACCAATTGTCTCCATTTCATTGCGAGGGAGTCAAGTGCAAGGCACACCCCAGAAGGATTGGTCAAACCGGACCCTTTATCCTTATTCAATTTACAACTATGTTTTACCTATTTTGTCTCTTTTGACCTAGACCGTTATTACTATATATACAAACTTATTTTTTATATTTCTGAGAAACTAATTATGCTTAATTCATAATGAAATACGAAGTTCATAATGACGTATGAAATATGTTACAGGTTCTCAAAAATCATCCTAAGCCATTGAAAGGAAATAATGATTTGCTATCCATCACTAGACCGGATATTATCTATAAGGTGAGTAAATTAACAGAATTTCTTTCTCTTTCATATCGTCACACTTTCTCTTTTGTAAAGGATTAGTTTTGATAAACTTTCAGAACTTGTCATAAGAAGAAAATCTCACTGCAGTAACTGAAAATTCAGTATCAGACGAGAGTAGCAAAAACTGCAAAAAAACTTCTATAACAGTTTCATACAAAACTGGGAGTGTAGTCGAAAAGGCTACTGTCTACAGAAGTTTTCCCGAAAGTATAAAAAAAGGACACTGAAGGGTCGTTCTTTGACTTGAAACGCATCAGGA